TGTATGTTATGTTGAAAACCCATCACTACCCTCATGTATCTCTCTTAAATTATGTCGCACTTCCTCTCTTGGTTCTTTTAACACTTCCTATACGACCTCATCTTCAATATTTTTGTCTCGATCTTCTTCTAACAAAAAGTTATGTAAAATACAACATGCCAAGAAAATGTCTAATTGTGTTTCACATGAATAAAAAGGTTCATATGTACTTGTAATGATAGGAAACCTTCTTTTTAGAACACCAAATTCTCGTTCTATAGCATTACGTAATGAAGCATGACAGAGATTAAACAACTCTCTTGCATTCTCAGGGGACTGGACAGAATACTCTTTTCAAATGATACCTGACACATGTATATAGTGCCATTAGTGTAGTTGTATGAGGCAAACCAGCGTCTACCAAACAATATCGACCTACAAATAAGTTGTAATTAGTTATGTATTAAAAATTAGATTGCACACAAGAGTATTTTTGGTATTAAAAATTACTTGTTAGAATTACTAGTTTATATTCTCTATTGAGTGCATTCTTTAGTATCCTTGAGTATAATGTTGTACCCTCCCAACCACTTAAAATGTATGTAAACTTTAAATCAAACATACAAGAAGCTAAGACATTTATCATAGGGTATCCCTTGCGACCACGATATCTAGGGGTATCTTTGTGTGACAACCCGAAACTTTTATTCTGTATGCTTGGTCAACTTTATCAACATTGAACTTGATTCCATTACCTTTTAACGTCGTTTAAGAGTTAGTTTAAGTGTTATAAGCTTGAGTACAGCCGGGAATGAGATTAGAAATGAGTTAACAAGTCGTATAGAGACAAAACCGGGCCATACACCCTCTCGGGAGGAGTGTACGGCCGTACATCGGGTGTGTGGCCGCACACCCACCCTCCAGCCGCACACTCACCCTTATATATATAAGGTGACCCCCTTCACTCATTCCTTTCATTTGGCTGCACTTTACTTTCTCTCTCTAAAAACTTCATCCAAGAACACTCTAAAGGCCTCAAAAAACGTGAACTACTTCATCATTCAGCTTGTTATATTGGTAAAACACTTGAATCTAAGCCTAAAACTCATAGTGTTCTTCGTGTTCTTCATCCCTTGAAGGTGTACGGCCGCACACCTTCATGAGGTGGCCGCACACACCTTAAGACTCTCCAAAGTGAAGAGTTTGGCCTCCATTTGCTAGTTGGACTTGGTATTAGCACTAGAACACCTCCAAATCGACATTTCGAGCACAAATAAGGAGTGTACGGTCGTACACCCCTGTGTACGGCCGCACACCCTCTCTATACGGCCGCACACTCCCATGTATGACCGCACACACAGCATGGCCGCACACACACTCTTTTGGCCGTACACCTCCCTTGTTTGATCATATAGGGCCCCGACAAGCATTTCCAAGTCTTTAGGGTGGTTTTCCATCATGTTTAGTCATGAAACACCCTAATTCTAACACACATATGCGTTATCACATGTTAATAGGATCCACTTGCGTACGAAACACCGGTTGACACTCAGCATTCGTAACCGATCATACACCCAGATCCTACATCCAACAGTGAGTTCATACCCCTACGCTTTTTCCAAGTTTTTCATGTTTTCAGAGGGGAATACAAGCAAAAGTACAAGGAAACTTGTGCTCAAGTATATTGTTTTGTTTAAAATAATTATATGTTCAGTATGCTTTTAACACAGAAAACAGTTTTACCAAACGATTAAGAAATCAACTCGTAGAAACAGTTTTCAAAACTAAAGCAAGGAACTTGTGAATCTTGTCATAACATGCGATATTTTGCAAAGGATTTATACAAAATATAAACAGGATTTTCAGTATTATTACTTGTAAATTTGTTAGGCTAAGTTTTGAGACACGTCCTTGGTAACACTCCACCGGATACGAGAGTGTAGGACTAACCCTTGTAACCAAAATCTCTTGGAGGGAGAGCGTGACTATTGTGTATAGATCTATATGGGACTGACTATCCCACACCTTCGCTGCTAGCTACAGCGGGACCGTTAGGTTCAGGGGTGACAAAGTCATAAAAAGATACTGGCCCCCGGTACGTGCCATATCCAGTCTAAGTACGGTTATGACACTCACAACCTAGATAACGAGAATTTACTTTTGTAATAATGAAACAAGTGAACTAACCTCAAAGTAATAACCGATTTGATTACTAGAGGGCATTAGTAATACCCTTAGGATCTAGTTCACTACTTATTTATTAGTTTTATTTATGTACTAAGGCTAATACACCTCACTGAGAGCAAACAGGGTTTTTCAGGAAACTACATCTAACGATACAAGTATGGTAGATACTTGTACACTTCATTCCAGAACTGTTAACCAACTATCAACTTTTAAGGAAAATATAGGATTTTCCTGGGATAACTCAACCTTACTTAAACAGGCTGTTAAACAAATAACAAATGGATAATCAAACATCTTTCATAAGAAAATATAGGATTTTCTTGGGAAACACTTTTCAAAGGGATCAAAGAAACGTTTCTTTCACCAGAACTAAACGCTTATGAACTCACCAGCTTTATGCTGATATTTTTCAAAACTGCTTGTATTCTCAGGGCAACAATAGACAGGTACTCCCGCCAACTTTTGGAGAAGACGAAGCATTTTGGGGTCACGTCTTTTACTTTTGTTATATACTATTATGTATAAACCATGTTTTCAAACAATGTAAATATTCTTATTATAATGTAATGGTTGTGTTTACTTCGCTTACTATGATACAACTGTTATGATACTACGCATGACGTCCTCCACCCCAGAACGTTTCCGCCGTTCCGGTTTTGGGGTGTGACACTTTGTTAGGTAGTTTGACATGAACATGTGACCCATCAATTGCCCATATACAATTCTTGAAGTAAGGATAAAATCGCTTTTTATCTTGAATTTCTTTTTGTACAACATCACCTTTTGGTTGTTGAATATAACGACTTTCTAGTGATATAATTGCTTAGATAACTCTATGGAAGCACTTACTTGTAGTGGATTTAGAGCAACAACCAAAAGACAAATCGATTACTAAAATCATTGCCCACAAATGTGCAAAAATCTTGCAACATGCTCTTTAATGGACATGTATTGAGTAGCTCGAAGACCACCATCATGTTGTAAGACAGTGCACAATTTCTTAAAAGCATGCTCACTCATACGTATAAGTTCACGACTTTGACCACCATTTGAAAGGTTATGTAGCAACTGTTTATGTATATGTCGACGTTTTAAAATAAGTTTTCTAGAAGGTAATATGGGACAGTTTGTGTTGGCAAGTTCACGTTGTGTCAGAATGGCTATCAACAAGCAAATCAGATGAACTACTCGCCTTTGCCTGACTCTCAAAAATTGAGCAAGTGTTTGTAGCTCACTATCCATTGAAAATGTTACCTATTTTATGAAAAAATTTAAACGGCGATTCGTGTGTTATATGTGGATGTATATGTTATAGTTTCTTACTCAAACCAAAGGTAGATTCAAGAGAAAAAAGTCCATGAACTTTGAGAAAGATTGAAAAACAAAGGGTCAAGAGATTCATGGGCAAAAAAGTCCATGAACTTTGAGAAAGATTGAAAAACTAGTGCTAGTTCCTCTTTGTTATTTCAAACTTTCACTTTATATTGATTTTTATGATGTCATGACACCATCCCCCTTAACAGAGTTACAAAATCATTATAAGACTATGTTGCCTAGAACCATATTATTGTCCGGATTGTTAGAGGCATAATCTCTACCTGAAGCTCCAAGTTTGGACCATCAAAGCATATCACAAATATGAGAACATTTTGGTGAGCAGACTATTCATAATACAATGCATATTGTCTCATTCTAATTGCAATAGTCCAATATCTTTTTTAGATTTTTAAGTGCTAACCACTAAAGCTTAAAGGCACCATTATATATTAAAGCTTTTATAGCAAAAACTAAAGAAGCTAATATCATGATGTCTAGGAAAGAAATAAATATAACATGCAGATCCCCTCCAAATCCCCTCCTATAATGATATTTGAAGTAAAGATTGTGTGTAACCCACAAACACTTATAATGATTTTTAAATAAAAACTATGTCCTTAATACAATGTCTACATATTATTTCTAAGTGAGGCGAATTGGTGTAAATAGAACATGGTTTGCTTCTTTAATTGTTACCACAATATACTTGGATTTTGAGTTATAATAGCAAAATACTTACAATTTTTTTTACTGATTATAACAACATTTTACCTGTACTCCATTACCATTTCTTTATTTTGATTATGTGGGCATCTAGCATCATATTAAAATATGATGTGACTATATAAATGCCAAATAAGTACCCAACTAGCACCAGATAACAAATAACAGATAAAATAAGTTTGCATAACCTATTTCATACTCTTATACGAAATGAAATATGTCTTGTATTCATTGTGTGTCCAAAATAATGGCATCATGTATAAGAAACATAAACAAGAAATCGAAGAAGAGAATGAAACCTAATGATAGAAGCTTGCAGAGCGTCGAACTGATAACAAAGGATGAAGCAACGGTTTTTTTTCTGCATGTTGTTGTACGTGAATATATAGGGTTCAAGGATAGTTTGGTAATCATCGAGATTTTATGTTTATCAATGATGCTATTCTTTCCAGATCTCTCCAATTTGAGAGGAAGATTAGAAGAGAACGAATCCTTTTATTTTCTTTCATTTCTTTCCAAATCACTCCAATCAATAAACTCCAGAATGTTGTTGACTCATTTTTTCTCTCCAATTCCCTTCTTTTCTCTCTGCTTCCCTCGTTAATTGAGACTCGGGAACAGAATGTAAGCGACTAACAAGCAACATAAAAATATACTAATTTATCCCTGATAAAAATTTCAATATATAATTTAGTAACTTTTATTCTAAAAAAATTAAAAATATATGATCTTATAATAATGAAAATTAAAAATACTTTAGGATTTGTATTTGGTCGATTAGAGATTTGGGGTTACTAGAAAAATGCAAGTTCACCCCCTTCACATTTTGGAAAGAAAACCCTGAAATTTAAAAACCCTCTTTCAACCCCAATCTCCGACGACGCCGGAGATGGCTTATACATACAGATACAGTCGTCCTCTAGTCCAGTCATACCGCATTCTTCACAAACTCCATGCAGGTATCTTCATCTCTATCGAACCCTTCTAAATTATTTCTGCTTTCTGTGCTCTCATTAATTTTTTCCCATTCGCATCTTCTAGTGAGCTCTTGCGGACAAAATAGGTTTTCATCATTTTTCTCAACAGAATTCGTCGGTGATACACCTGTGCTCGTATGTTTCCTTATCTCCCACTGGTCTGATCAATCGTAGATAAATCGATACTTGCAAGAAACGAGAAATGAATTTCGATCGTATGCAACATATTAGAGCAAAAATTACTTATTTGATGATTGTTTTATTTTAATTGAACAGGTTAGAGACTTTATACACTCAGCATTGTATCATCCTGATCATGGTTACTTTTCACAAAGCCCAAGGTCTGTTGGAGTGCTTGATAGGGGCATTAACTTTCATAAGCTTCAAGGTACCACATATATTCAGTATGTTCTATCCATTGGCGTCTAACAATCACCCAAACCAGTAATTCGTATTTGTCTTTATGGAAATACTTGGCTACTCTTGTAAACCATATTTCTGTTTACCTGAACTGGTGAGCTTTTTTCAGGAAGAAAGGCTTACATGTCACATTTGGAAAACATTTACAAGCAAAATGATGTTTCTTGGTTTACCCCAGTTGAGCTTTTCAAGGTATTATATATATGACATACACCTTATTTGGAGAACATCGTGTGATCATATGACCTTTTTCATCTTATCCCTTTGTAGCCTTGGTATGCCCATGGGATTGCAGAAGCAATCTTGAGAACAACTAATCTTTCTTTTCCACTAAAGGTGAGTTCATTGTTTCTGATAATTTACAAGCATGAAGTTTCCATCATGACTCTTGATTCTAATGTGGTCAATTCAGATATATGAAATTGGAGGTGGATCAGGAACTTGTGCAAAGGGCATAATGGATTACATAATGTTGAATGCACCTACACGAGTTTACAATAACATGTCATACACGTATGTGCTAATCTTTTTCCCTTTAAAAGTTGTAAGTATCAATTTATTTATTCACATATATGCATTATACTACATAACTTCTTTCAATTTCAATATGTCAAACCATTAATGTTATGCAAATTTTTATAAGTAATGCAGTTCAGTAGAAATTAGTTCTTCATTAGCCAAGAAACAGTTAGAAACTGTTGGAGAAGTTGGTAGTCACTTATCAAAGTTCAAAGTAGAATGTCGTGATGCTGCTGATCGTATTGGATGGGGTATATATAAAAAAATTAACCATTTTAACTGAATTTTCATTATAGTTATCAAAGTTCTCTTTAAAAAAAAAATTAAAATCTAATTTTAAAAACAGGGAATGCAGAGCAACAACCATGTTGGGTTATAATGCTTGAGGTAGGTTCTACTTCTATCTATAATTCTAAATTATCATTTATCTCTCTACTAACATTACAATTTACAATTAGTTTTTAATTTTTATATTTTTCTTTTAGGTTCTTGATAACCTTCCACATGACCTTATTTATTCGGGGAATCAAATTTCACCATGGATGGAAGTTTGGGTAGAAAAGCAACAAGACAGGTGATAAATGTATAGCTAGTTATACTTATATATATACATAGTTTATTAATTTGAAACATGTGATGAATATGATCTATAAAACCTCAAACCCTAATGATTGCAGTGGTAAATTGTGTGAGTTGTATAAGCCGATGCAAGATCCTCTGATAAAAAGTTGTTTGGATGTTTTAAATGTTGATAAAGACTTTAAACATCAAGGAATTAAAGAGGCTTCATTTCCTAGCAAAATGTGGGCTAAAATCTTTCCAAAAGCTAAACGATGTTGGCTACCTACTGGTTGTTTGGTAATAATTGGTTTCATTTTAATTTTAAAGGCTAAGTGCAAGAAATAGCAACATACTTTCATTTATTTGTGTATTATATTTATATAGCATCCTACTTTCATTATAAACTAATTTACAGATATGAATATATTTGCACTAATGAAGATTTATATGACTTCCAGAAACTTCTAGAAACATTACATGGAGCCTTGCCAAAGATGTCAATGATTGCTTCTGATTTCAGTTACCTTCCTGATGTCAAAGTACCTGGTGAAAGAGCTCCTTTGGTTTCCACCAAGGTATATCATATATTCTCATAAATTAAAAAAAAAAAAAAAAAAAAGTAAATAAAAAAAAACAATCATGTTTTTGATATAATCCGTCTATTTTTCTGCAGAAAGACGGAAGCAGTTCAGATCACAGCTCATATTTGGATGCCAAGGTATAGTTTCATATTTGCATTCTTTAAATACAAATAAATTTATATTTTTTTTTTTTATATTTGTTGCAGGGTGATGCAGATATATTTTTCCCAACTGATTTTTGGCTTTTGGAGCGGATCGATCACTACAGTTCCGGGTGGTTAAAATCAAGAATCGAGTCATATGACAGGTCATCCAAAAAAGGAAAGAAAAGACGCACCATAACAGTAATTTCTCACTTTCATTAAACTTTCTATATATATATATATATATATATATATATATATATATATATATATTATTTGAAGCAACTTAACTTACCTGTTTTGATGGTATATTATGTAGCTTGATACATCGGTGTTTATGGAAGAGTTTGGTTTGCCCACAAAGACAAAGACAAAAGACGGATATAACCCTCTTCTCGAAGACTTCATAAATACTAAATTTTACCTTAGTGTTCCTACACATAACACCAAATAAACAGCGAAATAGAAAGAAAGAAAAACTTGAAGAAATAGTGCATTTTTAGGGCTTTTCACTGTTGTATCGTAGAGATGCGTGCATTTTTATGTAACGTATAATTGAATATTCTTTCTAAGGATAAATGCAATAAATAGCAACATGTACTTTTATCTATTTGTTTATTATAGCATCCTCCTTTAATTTCTTTTTATTGTAGCATTGTATTTTTTTTTCTTCTTACCAAGACATTGTACTTCAAAGAATCTATAGTTGTGGAAAAAAAAATTGTATTTGGATGACATTGTTGTGACAGGAAGAAACGAAAGTTGGATACTGTAATAAACAAGTCACTGGAAGTACATTGTTATTTGTATGAAACCCTTTTTAGCATACACTTGCCTCTCCTTCTCCAACATCGAAGATGAAGAGGTTGAAGAGAGGGGTTGGGTATTCAAAGTATCTTCATACCAGAACCTTTTTCAAGAAGATATCTCAATAATTAGTTTAAATGTGTAAGATGTGCCTTATTATTAGCATGTATATGATTTTCCAGAAGAATAAATAATTTTTGTTTCATCATGAGTTATTGTCATTGTAGCCCAACAATGTTTAGTATATTGGTTTAAAAGGTCTCTTGTGACTTTTTTTGTCTTTTAGGAGTACGAACTTGTGTTTTACCGTTTTAAAAGGTGCCTTTATCCATTTTATGAGGTAACAATGCCTTATCATCTGCCAACTAAGTTGGCGAGTCAACTAAGCCGCCTTGTCATCATTACATTACTTTGACTTTGAATACTCGTTAGTCAAAGTCTCGATGAGAAGTCAAAATCAAACACATAAGTTCACCCGTTCTTACTCTATCCATCGATTTTCTCCTTCATCGTTCTTGCCACTTCCCGATTAAAACATGTCTCGTAGTTTCCATTATACGGAAGCTATGCTCGTTATTGTGATCTCAATTTTTGTGTTTACCGTTTCCTCCCGCACTATCGCCACCAGCCCAGAAGACCAAACTGCAATCGGAGACGATTAAGCAAATGATCGTCGATGGAGGGTTCTATTGGTAACGGGTGATTAGGTGGCATAAGATGATGATTAGGATGGGTCACCGGATGACCTCTTCAAATTTTCCATAATAACCTTTTAAAACCTAAAAACACAAGTTCGTACCCTTCAAAGGCAAAAAAATCACGAGGGACCATTTAAACCAATATACTAAACATTGTTGGGCTACAGTGACAATAACCCTTTAATCATTTAATCAATCTTATGTAGAGCGGGTAATATCTCATCTTGGAATGATTATTTACACAGATACTTGAGTCAATAAATATCAAGTTTAGGCAACTGATAGAGTAGCTATAATGATGTGTACTTCTCATTGACAATTTGGCATGGAAAAGAAATGCTTGAAGTGCTTAATTTAATGATCCCTGATGGAAGTGCACAATGTGAACCATTTTTGAATCTAGTGCAACATATCTCTTTCAATATTAGAATGGCTTGCAAAGTCTTTGTAGTGCAACATAAGATATCGATTATTTTTAATATTATATTTAAATAAATAATTACTTACAAGTGATTGAATAATCATTAATCGAAAGACTTTTTAATAATCCATACTATACCAACATGTAGATATTGATTATTTTTCTAATATTAAATTTAAACAAATAATTACTACAAGTGATTCAATAACCATTAACCGAAATACTTTTAATAATCTAAGAGTTTGATATACTCTTAATAATTATTTTTTAGTTAAATTGTAAATAACTATATTTATGTTAACTTATTATTGAATAACTGTTATTTGTGAATAGGTAAGATATTTATTGAAAATATGAAATAGTCATTGTGGGACAGACATTATTTTCAAAAATGATTGATATTGTATTGATATAGATGTAATATAAAGGGATTTTTACATTTATATCCTTCTAAACTATAAATATTCCTTCTATATCCTTATAAACTTCAATATTACATCTATATCCTTTTAAAAATATAAAAATTACATCTATATCCAAATCTATTTTCTAATTATAATTATATCAATTTTATATTTAGAAAATTAGATAAAAATAAAAACTACATATAAGTTTACCCCTTTTGACATTAAACGAGTATCTATTCCATAAAAATGGGGCCTCTTCTTCATTCCATAAACATCGGCTGCCTCACCTTCTTCTCACCTACACCACAACCTGTAAACGACAATGCCCCCTTCGTTCCACACTACTTCGAGAAACCAGTAGACCGCCACTCCTCACCGTTGTGACTTAGATATATCCTCTCCTTTCACAACAAATCGTCACCCAGAAATTCCTCCTCGTCTTCTCACCGACAATTTAAGGTTTGATTCTCTTCCGTCTTCTTTTATTCAAGGGTTATTCTACGGAGGTGCCCTTAATAGTTTAAAGTTTCATGTGGATTTGATTTTGCAATTTCTTAATTCTTCTTGGTATTTTCTTATTTTGGGATTTGAAGGTCCGATTTACACATATCTTCGAGTAGATTTATCATGCTCGTAGGTGATTGGTACACAATTCGTTCCAATAAAAGCTTAGATTTGATCATGCTAATGTTTTTATTCCTGTATGAAGTGTTATGAAGTCTAGTATAGTTAGTAATTTGTTTTTTGTAAAGCTTAAGATCGGTATCAAGTTGGAACTCGACTTTACTTTTGATACCAAACTCCAATGCAGCTATAAACAATTGGCAAATGGCTTCAAGTAGACCTTTACAACAGAATGCTCGACTTTTTGATTGAACCTTATAGAATCTCATTTTCTATTGCAGATTGATCTGACTTCCAAGGTATCTTTAATCTTCTCAGAACACCAAGCAAACAACCTAGCACTTTTAGTAGCAATCAGTTTGGAATGTTTCCTACCTGCTGACTCACCACCATCTAGCATTTTTGTGCAGGAAATTTGGTATTGTTTTGGACTAACGAAACCAAAGATAAGAAAACATCAATTTTTCATTATTATTTGGTTCTTTATTTTCTGATCATGGAGTTGGTTTCGGATCTATGTTGTATGTAGAAGTTTACATGTTGATTCTTAAGTGCAACCTGTTTCAAAAGAGAGTTGTAATCAGGTGGAATATTTTACACAGATTGTAAATGTGGGGATACATTATATCTGTGATAACTATCTGCTTTCATTCTTGCTGTTCAAAGCTTCTCTTTCCTATCTGTTATAGCAACCATAATCACTTTTCATAAATCTGTTAGTTATCTGTAAAGGATTTGATCATTTATTGTTTCGCGTTTCTACCAACTGGATGGGGACCGATACTAGCTAGTAAGCAAGCTCTCTTGATTTTGAATCAAAATCTTGATCTTTTTATTTCTTGAAGTAAAAGTAACCATTTTTTTCTTCATTACTAGGTTGGTAAAGCATTCAAGCCATTGATTCGATGCACGGTTTTGTGGAAATTCACATCACTCTTAGTTATTCAATCTCGAGTTCCAAGGTCTTATCAGAAGTCATTACCGGTATCAAGTTGCTACTTTTGAAAAGATCAGCAACAAAAGGCAAACAAAGGCTTTCGAAGTACATTGCTATTTTGGAAACACGAGTACAAGTAGACTGTTATTTTAGTCTTTTTCCACCTTGTTTCTGGTGGCTTTTGTCTATGTTAATCTAAATTTTGTAGGTTCTTGTTTTCTCTGTATTGTAACTTTCCAAGCATCCTGCTGGTTTTCATATTTAATACATTTTAGTTATAACATAATTCAGTTGTACAATTTATAGTTGAAAACTAAAAAAATACTTCAAACAAACATTATGTTAAAATATTGTTTCAACATTTTAAGCAGCATCTAGTTGGAGCATTTCATCAGCTAAGTGGAAGGCATTGTGGTTTATGATTCTATCGCCTATTGGTGTATAAAACCCAATAAAGCAAAATAGTACAAAAATGGTCCTATGACGAAAATAATTACATAAATGGTCCCTGTGATAGAAAAATATTACATAAATGGTCCCAAAACAAAATTATATAAATGGTCCCTGTGACAAAAAGCGATTACAGGAATGGTCCCAAATCAATTACAAAAATCGTCCTTGTTGCAGAAAATGATTACAGAAATTGTCCCTGTGACAGAAAAATATTACCTTAATCGTCCCAAAACATAATTTCATAAATAGACCCTGTCGCAAAAAATGATTACATAAATGGTCCCTATAAAGAAAAACAATTACATAAATGGTCCGAAAACAAATATAAATAGTTGATCAAATTTGTAACAATTTTATCCCATGAAAAATCCGTCCAAACAACAAAACTAAAGAATTAAACAATCCATTCATCAAGCATTAAAGTACTAAAGTCTAATCAAACTCTTAACAAAAGCTCATGATCTTTTTTGTTCTTTATTCTTGCTAGTGGATGCATCATCAGAACCTTGACGTTCGGGATTTTTGCAAGTCTTTTGATGGTGTCCAAACATACCACAACGGGGGCATCTATGTCTTTTCTTGGGTTCATCACGTGGTACAATTCTATTCTTTTTAGGTCGTCCAGGAGGCCGTTTTATAATAGGTGGGTATATCTTCTCGATTGTCTTTATATGCACCCATTGATCCTTTCCCGGCATTGGAGCGATTTCTAAAGCATATGCTTCTTTAAATTTATCAACTGTGAAATATGTATCAACATATTTGTCCCAATCAGGATCCCTCGTAAAAGCAATAAACGCAGCTGCATGCACACACGGTAGGCCTTTAACTTGCCAAACTCGACAACTACATTTTTTCTCATCTAGTATAACCTCCCAACGTTTGCCCTTGTAGTTCACCTGTGCTCGATTGTCACTACTTCTACAAACTTCAAAGTTACCTAAGTTCTACATGAGAAAATAAGACAAGAATAAATTATAGAAGAATTTTTTTCCATGTTTTCACAATCCTAAATAAAAGAAAATTAGATAATACATGAGAAATTCATTAAACTTGCCTTAGAGATTCTCTTGAGATAATTCTTTGCTTTTGGTACTAATGTTCCTTTCCATTTGTTTACAATTTTTCTTTTTTTGTCAAATCGTTGCATAAGCTTTTCTCTAATTGCATCAAGGAGATCGAGCACTGGTTTATAACGTATGTCACCTACCCAGGAGTTAAAAGTTTCTGAAATATTGTTGGTAATATAGTCACACTTGACAATTGTACCAAACTTGCTTCTACTCCATATCTTCTTATGGTTCTCATTTAAATATAAAATTGCATCTTCACGTACACTTGCAATTTCGTTTAACAATCTATCATGCTTACTAACAGAGTAGGTCTTTGCAGCACCCCATAGCTTGGTCATGAAATAATCACCTCGATAATGTTTCTTGAAGTTGCTATATAAATGTCTTATGCATTCGCGATGCTCAACATTAGGATAAACCTGTGTAATAGCTACTTCCAACCCTTTTTGCATGTCAGAGGAGATAACAAGACCGTCTGGTGTACCGATTGCTTTTTCTAGTGACTTGAGAAACCAAGTCCATGAATTTATATTCTCAGACTCAAGCACACCATAGGCTACTGGAAACATGCCATGGTTACCGTCGATACTTGTGGCAGCGGCTAGCACACCATTAAATTTCCCCTTCAAATGACAAGCATCAATCCCAATGTAAGGACGACAACCAGAAAGAAACCCCTTAGAGCATGCTGTTAGTGATATAAAAAAGCGTAGGAAATGTTTCTTGTTACCCTCTGTTTGCAAATCAATCTCCACAACACTTCCACGATTTCTTTGTTCAAGCTCCTGTTTGAAATCATATATATTTACGTAAGATTCATCCCACTTGCCATACATATCACTAAAAGCTTGTTCTTTTCCTCTAAAGACTCTCATATATGGTACGTCAACATTGTAGCTTTGCATAAGCCACTTTTTCATGTCAACAAATGTAGTATTTCTTAAATTTTATACTTATTTCAAAAGTAACCTCATCCTGCGTAAGAGAAGCATGGATTCTCCACTCACACTTTTTATCTTCACAACATGCTGTAAGTCGTGTCAAATCGCTTTTCTCAATAACATACTGAAATTCATTTGTTATTGCATAGTGGTTTAACGCTCTTCTAAAAGCAATCACATTTGGAAATTTAGAATTCACTTTCATAACCGCATTTTTATTGCTATATGAATAAGTTTTAAAATCAGAATTTAGAAGCTCATACTCATTATCAGAACTATGACGACTATGATAGCTTTCTTCACTTGGACAATTTGAGTCCGAATCATTTTCATCATCTGATTCATCAATAACTTGATCTTGGCCACTAAACGATTTATACATTTGTTGTGTAATTTTTTCAGTCGTCGCATAAATTATTCCTTCTTTCTCCTCCTCATACATGTTAAGCATCCACATGAAGTTTTCATCAGAATCAAGTTTAATAAAACGTTGCTCTTTTGAATTCTTGTCAATAAAGACTATTGACAACACAATATCGTTTTGTGATGGATAATGTTTTTCCACCTCTTCAACCAGTTGATTCAAGTTGTATGAGCAAATGTCTACATAGAGAGTTTTTCTAAAACCGAAACAATACACTTGCCTACATGAGTTCCTAGCAAACCGAAAAAACCCTCCATATATCAGTTTAAGCTTGTATTTCCATGTTACTTGCCTGATAACCACAGAGAAAAAAAAACGAGTAATGAAATATACAGGCAACATAAAATATCAACCATCTTGTAGGTAAAACAAATTTGATCCTTAGAATTATTGTAGAAACGTACTCAATTATCGGGGAGTGACCACCTATCTCCCATCTCGGTGTATCTACCTCACCAGCCATCAAAATTGATCGAACGCAGTTACAGAAAGAGGTGGAGACTAAATTCTGTTTTGTGAATCAAAATTAATCAAATGTAGATACATAATTGATCAAATGTGAAGTTAATCTAGTGCAAAATAAATTACTTCAAATAATATGACAAAGATGACTTGTTGTGAAGAAAAAGAGCCAGTGATAGCAATATATGGAGAAGAAATTTTGTTTTGTGAACCAAAGTTTATCCAATGCAATACACAACTGATCAAATGCAAAGTTAATCTAACCAGAAGATTACCTGTTGTGATGAAGATGCGAAACTGAGTTATGATGAAGATGCGAAAATCACTAGGTAAGGAGATAGAGTACGTGATCAAGAAGATGATAAATTGACTGCGCCGATTTAAGGGAGGGATACGTAATCTAATATGTCCAGCAATTTAATTTGGGATTTAATTAGGAAATGGTATATTGGTAAATTAATATATAATTCTGAATATTATATAAATAGTTTATTAAAAAAATGATATAATTATAATTAAAAAATGGATTTGGATATAGATGTAAATTTTATATTTTTAAAAGGATATAGACGTAATATTGAAGTTTATAAGGATATAGAAGTAATATTTATAGTTTAGAAGGATATAAATGTAAAAATCCCAATTATAAAAGTTAATATCACATTTTTAAAAGAAAATTTGTATTTCACAGTTGTGGATGGTTTAAAAGCATTTATATTAGGTGATTACTACTTTATTGCAAAAAAATGTGGATCACATCTGAAATTCATTCCAGCATATCTTTTTGGGTAAATAGTGCAAAAGACACTTAGTTTACATAGAAATTCGAATTTGACACCGTGTTTTTTTTTGTGTCAATTTTGACACCGTGTTATTGATTTTTTACTAAATGTAACCATATGACTGGTTGCCTTCAGATCAACGGGTTTGTATTTTGCTGAGTGGGTCATTTGCTTATGTGGCATCCACCTAAGATCCTACATGGCAGTTGAGCCTTTATAAATGATCCCTAACGGCCTCAACCCTAGATCGATCTTCACTTTTTCATCTCAGTTCTTCTTCACGAGGATTGTGCAATGATGTCTTCGTCTCGATCAGCTGGATCAACGAGTGGGGTAAACAAGGCAAACAATGGTCCCTCTAGGACGTGCTACTGTGGAGTAATTGCCCCCTTGAAGATATCAACGAGTGAGAAGAATCCTGGAAGAAGATACTTTGGGTGCAGGTACTGGCCCGATGAAGTTGAAGACTGTGGTTACTTTGAATGGTATGACGGTGAAGTAAGTCCATGGTACAAGGAACTTTTGTTTGAAGTTATGGCAAAGAAGAAAAAAACCACTGGACAGGGAAAAGGGAACCCTCATCATGGTGAAATAAGTTTGATGAATCTTGTCAGGATTGTGATTGGTTTGCTTGTTATTTTAGTAGCCATGGTAGGGATTTTGATGTGGATGGTGTACATGGAGTAAGTAGGAAGAAGTTTTGGTAGGTCTTTAAGTATGAATTAATGTCGATTAAGGTCCAATGTTGACCATTTTTGTGTGTATGTATTGATGTACTACCTTGAAGTTTGTATGTTCCAGTGTTGACCAATTTTGATATATATAGTGAAGTGTATATGTTTATGATGGTGAATTGGAAGTATGATGCTATATGATGCTAGTGGACCAAACTACCATTTACTTATGTAACAAACCAATGACCAAAAAAGAAAGGACCTAAATACCCTTACACATATTTTGACCAAAATGCTATGAAAAATACCTATAAAATAACCAAGTGAATTGGAAGCATGATGCTATATGATGCTAGTAGACCAAACTACCCTTTACTTATGTAACAAACCAATGACCAAAAAAGAAAGGACCTAAATACCCATACACATATTTTGACCAAAATGCTATGAAAAATACCAAACTACCCTTTACTTATGTAACAAACCAGTGATCAAACTACCCTTTACTTATGTAACAAAAAATTACCATAAACACCATACCAACATTACATAAATTCTTACCATCAAAATTCATACATTTTGCCAATATTGACCCATCCCATTTACAAAAGGGGTAGTAATGTTTGGGTATACCATATACAAAAGATAATTATAGTCAAGGGGATTACTTAAGGGTACATTACATAATACAAAAAAGGCTAACATAAACCATGCCCATCAACCCCTAACCTTCTGCACCCTAATCTACTCCAAAGAAACAGGGTCCAACCTACTTCGACCTGGTCCAACAACCTTCTTTCCAGCAGCCTTCATTCCAATCTGAATTTTAGTAATTCTCTCTGAAGGACTTCTTGTTCTCATCAACCTTTGGGATGGTGGTGTCTCAACAATGCCTTCATCCTCTGTTTCTAGTACAATATCAACTTGAGGCACAGGTGGAACTTGTCCAACCTGTGGAACTTCTTCAGGAACAGGTTGAACTTGTTCAACCTCTGGAACTTCTTCATGCAAAGGTTCAAGAATAGGTGGAACTTCAGCCAAAACTTCAACATCTAAATGTTGTTCATATAGTACATGATACACCTCATCCTCTGAGTATCCTGATGCAAGAAACTCTGTAGCATGTGCATCCCCCTTCAAATCCTGGGCCAATATAACATTTTGCAGCCCTTCATCTTCAAAGTCCTTGCTACTACCTTCATGTATCCCTCTAACAGATTGATATGCCTTTGCTTTACCCTGTTAATAAAACAGTAATTGTGTTAACAATAGTAGACACTAAAGATTTGATAAAAATAGTAAAGCTTACCTTTTTTTGACTGTTACAACTTGCTTGTCCATCCATTTGCCCATCCATTTCCTAAGTGTGTTGACTATGTTGACTCTTTTGACTTGTGGATGTTGTTGTTTTTTTCATTGCCACATCCCTAGTCAGTGGCCTACCCTTTCTTTTCTTTTCCTTTGGAGGTTGGGGCTTACTTGGATTCTTGCAGGTTCTTTTGTTATGCCCTTCCTCCCCACAGTTCTGGCATATCTTTGTTTCTCCAACAGACTTTATCTTCTTGTACTCTCTATCCTTCTCTGTGACATGTTTCCTTCTTCTGGTTTTAGGTCTTCCTGGCATCCTCCTTGTAGGTGGTGGCAGTGGTTTGGCATATGGTGTCCTAGCCCACATTTTACTACCATTTAGAGGCCTCATATTGCCTTTGTAAGTCTCTGCAAACTTCTCTTTGGAAAACCATGAACTGATTAATGTTTCTGGTTGTTGTTGTGTGTGGTTCATAGCTGCACATACATGGACACATGGAATCCCAGATATTTCCCATAATCTACAAGTGCAGAATTGTTCTCCTAAGTCCACCTGAAAAGACTCAAATCCTAGTCTCACTTCAAATACATTTGTGTCACTAGCTACAACACTCTACAACCTGTAATTCATGCAATACATGTTAGTAAATAATCTTAATGAATATTGAATAAAGTTAGTCAATAATGTTACCTCATATCTTTACACCAGTCATCCAGCTTTGTCAATATTGTAGGACATACATCTCCCCTCCATGTTAAGTGTATTATAGACATCCTATAAAACCTCTCCATAACATACATTCTGAGCTCCTCCAACATAGTAAATAGTGGTTTAGTCCTTACCTCCAGAATTACTGAATTGAAGCTCTCTGATATACCATTTTCTACTGCTTCAGATGCTCTACCTTCCTTATAAAATGCTCTGCTCCAACTCTCTGGGTTCCTTGCCATGAGGTGTTCATAAGCACTTCCATTCATTTCTTTGAGTTCCTCCATTGTCTCAAGAAAAGATGACTTTGTAGTTGATATTGAAGCTGCCCAAAAATGTCTCTTGTAATCAATTCCATTGTACACCTTTTAAAGTTGACATACACATGTATGGCACACTGCCTATGCTCAACTAATGGTAACTTCTCCTTGACAGCCACTACTAATCCCTACATTCATACAAGAAACTGTAAAGATACAAAAAAGAGTAACCATAGATAAAAGAGTAAACAAACAAAAAAGAGTAAACATACCTTATGTTGATCATAAATTATTGTCAGACCTTCACCTAACTCTAAGCCAAGGTCTTCCGCAAGCAACTTAATAAACCACTCCCAGTTGTCCTTGTTTTCAACATCAATCACAGCCCAGGCTATTGGGTATACCTGGTTGTTCACATCCCTACCTATTGCAGTGAGTAGCTCCCCTTTGCATTGCCCTTTTAGAAAACAACCATCTAGTCCAATGACTCTCCTGCAACCCCTAATCCATCCATACTTTATAGCCTTAAAACATACATAGAATCTTTTAAAAACACTACTACCATATTCTTTGATATCAACTCCAACCTTTGTTGTACTACCAGATCTGATGATCTCTCCTCCATATTCCCATATACGAGCATAATGCTTTGATAACTTTCCAGTTAAAATTTCTAGTGCTTTCTTCTTAGCCCCATAGTATTGTCCCTTAGACACAATGCATAAAAATTTCTTTTTGATTTCTTCTTTCATCTCCATGACTTTCATTTTTGGTCTAACACACAATTTTTTCAAGAACTGTTTGGCTATCCAGTTAGGATTAACCAATGTGGCATGCTTGTACTCCCTAACACAAGTATGCTTATTAGTAAGTCCCTTAATTTGAAATGATTTCTCTTTGTTCATCCGGGATGCCCACAGCTTGAAGGTACATCTCTTTCCTTTATTGTCTAAACCACATTTTGCTTGAAGCCTTGTACTAGAAGATTTGGTCACCTTAATTGGATAACCATTGTGAACTGCATAGTTAGTCAGGCGGAACCTTAACTCAATTTGATTAGCATACTTTTCACCTAAATGTTGTTTCATTTTCTTCCAACAAACAGAAGGGTCATGAACACTAAATTTGGTTGGATCTTGATCAACCTCATCCTTGTCATCTTCAATTTCATTATCAGAATGACCTTCTTCTCTAATGACTTCATCATCGACATTTTCCCTCTTATTGTAAACAGAAACATTGCAAAAATCATAAAGGAAGGCATCAAAAGGTACTTTCAACTGTGGAAAAGTCGTGTGTTCATCTGCATCACAGTCACCCAATTCTTCATCGACAACAAATGCCCCTTCTGATTCGCTCTCCGATTCTGACTCTAATTCACTTTCTTCAAAATCAGAGTCGTAATATGGCCCCTTTTCCATTTCATCAGACGGTTGTGCTCTCCTTATTTTAGGTCGTGGTTTCCTCATCGTAAGCTTTCACCTTTCTTCGAAGTTACAGAGGGTAGAAACCCTAGTTAATGAGGGTAGAAACTTTTTGTCCTTTTTTTGCGTGACATGGATTTTAGTAGGATGATAAATGAGGGGGAAGGGGATGACATGTTAAATAAGGGGAAAGGGGATGACATGGACCATGCTACGAAGACGTATTAGGGGCATGGTAACTGGTTAACCGACTGTAATAGGTCATATGGTTACATTTAGTAAAAAATCAATAACACAGTGTCAAAATTGACACAAAAAAAATACGGTGTAAAATTCGAATTTCTGTGTAAACTGAGTGTCTTTTGTGCTATGTACCCTATCTTTTTTAATATTAGAAAGACTTGAAAGCTTTGGTGCTCATGTAATAACTTTTGTTACAAAAGACAAGTCTTTTAGATTGAATTTATTTTGTATAAAATAAAAGTTAAAAGCTGACAAAGTTAAGCTAAAAGCTTAGAAATTATCCATGCCAAACACACCTTATATTGCATTGATGTAAAACGTAAATGTAATTGTAAAAGTTAATAGGACACTTTTGTAATTATAAATGTAATTGTAAAAGTTAAATGACAGTTGAAAAATCAGTTGTAGTGCACTGGAGTAATACAGAATTTAAAAGATGGGATCGTAAGCCAAACATATCATCAAATAGAATCTCAATTAATTGCATTGTACCAAACGTGTTCCAAACTTAGACATCATTTAGTTTCAAACTCAAACTGGACCTACATTCTTATCTTTCCATTACCATTTACATGCGCCAAATCATAGTAAAAAACCAATACTCGAAGATGATCAACCTTAATGTGAATAAATACATAAAAAACAATTTGAAACGTAGATTCAAACTTACAATTTAACAAATCCAGAAACATCTCAAGATTAAGAAAAAACTAACCAAAAAAAGAAAGATTTAAAGACGAATTCATGAAGTCAACATATTAAAAGCTAGATTCCTAATCCAACCTTCTTGATCAATATAAGATATGCTTGTCAACCTGGAAACCTCCTCCTTGCTCAGCCGCCTCTCCCACCCTGCTCTTCCCGACATATCCGCTCCTCCTCCCCGACATTCCTCCTCCGCAAACACCAAATCATTCCTGCTTCACCAAATAAAACCATTATAATAAAAGAAATAATGAAAATTGGTCGCCGGAAAAGAGGGAGATTGAGATGGTGTACACTGTAGCGCCAAGAAAGTCGACGGATAACCACCCTTGGGGAACAACGATGTCTGAGAGCGTGGAGTTGTAGAAAAGAACTCGAGCAAAGCCTCGCCATGGCCTTCCCAAGTACGCCGTGCCATTTCCGACCACATTGCAGTCTTTGAAGACGAAGCCGTTGGTCTCACTTGCATCTTCTCTTGATTGGGCGGTGATAAACCCTGGTTGAGGACTTAAGAACCCCGCAATCACCGACAGTGTACACCTCTACAAAACATTACATATCCAAATCAAAAGCTTAATTCAATCAATTAGATGACAAATTTTCTATTTTGTTTCTCTACTTTACACGTTATATGACACATATAGTTTACTTGGCATCCACATAAGCAAATTGCCTTAAATGCCAGAAAAAGACATGTGAGTTGGTGATTATTTTGTGCAAAGGTAAAAAAAAAAGTTAAATATGTTGCGATTTGAAGTAATTTGTCTTGTTTGATATTCCTAGTGTTACAATATTCACGAAATATAATAAAATCCTAACATTATCTACAAACATATAACCAAATAGTTGTGTACTTGTGTTACCTCGTATATAGACTGACCGGAGCCCATGATGAAGTCAACTGCACCACGTATGGAACATAATTTGTAGTAATGTCTACCGGAAACATCCCACAATGTGTCTTGAACACCCATAAAACCACATCGGTAAAATGCCGATTTGTCGCCGGAGATTTTAGCCGCCAGTGCCGGAACTATTGGGTTGCCGTTGCTTCCCAAAGGGTAATTGTAAGAATTCTGATCATATGAAACCAAGTTAATATAACATGAATTTCATATATGTAAGATGTGATAATGAAAAGGTGCATATACATAGTAGTGTACATACGATGAACGTTATGCTCTTAACGACGATCTCATCCGCTTCAGAAGTAAAAGTGGCATCGGTTTCAATGGAGTCATGGGAGCTCCATACAACGAAGGTTTTTCTTTTACCATCTCCTTTTAGATAAATCTTGGGTTTATCGTTAGGGATTTTAATTTGTTCACTACATGTATGTACAAAAAACAAACAACATAAGATTAAGGTCAATCAAAGCGAATTTAAATTAACGAGTATATATAGCTATTTGCTTTTTTGTTGTAAACTAACTATTAATCATTGCAAAATAATCCACATGAGTATGAAAAAGAAAAAAATGAATATATAAAAAATGGAATTAAAATACTATATATCATTTTCCATTTAACCAATTCAATCATTCATCTATTCTAGCAGGACATTTATAAACCGAATAATAAAATCTGTGTTAAGGAAACAAAATTTACAAACTCACAAATATTTTATTTGATGGACAAGTTGTTTTAATTTATAATTTTTTGTTATAATCTTTAATTACCTAATCTAACTACATAAATTGAAGGGGTTGATGCCTTGATGCTTCTTATTAGAATCAGAAATAATAATGATCTAAACATTTTCTTGTTCTTTAATATAAAAGTATATCATGAAACCCTAAAAGTCTCTAGTTTGAGTTTTACACCCCAATGACGAATTTGTATCATATATCAATCGATTTATCAGTGATGGTGATTGTAAGATGTGTTTTTACGTGTTTTTAATAAATCATAAATAGATAAATAAAGATTATAAAAGTTAGAAAATCATACTTGTATGTGCCAGTCTTCACATAAACACAAATCCACTGCATGTTATCAGAAGGAACAGCATCAATGGCTGACTGAATGGTGGTGTAGTTTCCCCGGCCAGACTGGTCCACAGTGATCGTCTGATAATCTGCCACTGCTGCTCCGCCGTACTTCCAATACTCTGACGGTTGTCTTCTTCCACCTCCGCCAATAACACCACATTCTGATATTTCCAAAGCTATGAACAATAGAAGAACGAACAGAAACCTTTCAAGAACTTCCATTTTCATGGGATTTAAAACCTTCGACAACACTAATTGTTTGGACAAGAAGATGATGAATCCTATGTATGCTTGGGAAGCTCAAGGGTTTTATCTTTTATGAATGTTAAGTGAATAAATATTGATTATTTTCCTGTTTTACAAAGATTATCTTCTTTAATTGAGAGGGAAACGAAAACATTTTAATTCCTTATTAGTAAATATTTTTCTTAAACGGTTATAAATATTATTCCTTTATTTAATAGTTTCAACTTTCAACACTGAATCATATTTGTATCAAAAATACTTATATACTTATATTTGTATTTTAATGTAATTATAAAATTTGAACACAAATATATTTTAACGAGTGTTAAAATCTGAAAAATACTCGTTTAACATTCAAGTTCTTATGACATGAATTAATGTGATACATCAAAACAATTAATTTGAGGAAAGAATATAATTATTTCATTTACAATATAAATTTAACCTTGTAAAGTATATTAATATTTTGTCCTCTAAAGATGCATTTTTTTATTAAAAAACTTTTTATTTAATACAATGGAATAGTTTTTTATATATAAAATTACCTTTTTGTCAAGTTATCTAAGAAAATGTACTCATCTCTAAACAAGACTATCTTCAAAATACTTTTATATAAATTTTTAAGGAGTAAAAGTTAAATAAACGCGACATATATGTTTTGACACAACAAGCTCCTAAAAATAGTAACGAATCAAGTGAATTATATATCTTATATTCGGCTTTACTGTAAATTGATTTTGTTATGAATATGTGACGATTATGAAAATACTCAACATATATACTTTCTTCTAATTAGGAGAAATGAATAATTACCAAATATATCAAAAGAACCCTTGGTTTTGATTTTGTGTATTTATTTCGGTTTCTATAGTAAATAAGGAAAAGAATCAGACAACAAGCAAGAAGATCAATATATTCCATAACAGAACCTCCATTACAGCAACTATTGGATGCATTTTATACTATATAGTCAAATAATGTTTTAAAATATGTAATTTAAAAGATATGGAGGTATATTATTTGGGTGATGAGTGATTTTATATTTCGAATTATCATAATTAAACTTGTAATAAGAAAATCAATCATAACTACTATGAAAAATTGAAAATACATGCTACAAATAGACAGGTTAACATTTTTGTTCTATTTTTAAGGTGTATGGTTGCAAAATGTAAAAGGGATAATGACTTAAAAGGGTAATATACTTTTTGATTTGTATATATCTTATCACTGAGTTTTTTTTTCCATTCATATTTACTCATTCAACTTGTTTAACTGTACACATTCAGTCCTTATAACCGACTACTCCAGATAAACCGGGAAAAATGACTTAATAAGGTAATATATCTCATACTTTGTACACATTTAGTCATTAATATTTTTTTATACATTTAGTCCTAAATATTTTTTGTTGCAAAATAAGTCATTGCTATTTTTGTACGTATTCAATGTTTAACGGGAGTAATCTAAACGAAAATTGTAGTAGACTCAAATACGAATGTGTGAATAAAAAGATCGTTAAAATCTGAGATCGTATGAAAAAATTACGACGTTCAGAACACAATACCTAAGCACCAATCAATCGAGGCCGCAGTGAACATAAGGATGAACAACCCCAACACCTCATTAATGATTGTCCTATATAGGATGTCGTGAGAAAACCTAAAGAAATCGATCATAAGTATTGAATGGGGGGGCTAGGTTTTTCTCTCAAGGACTCACTTGAGATGGAGGGTGGTGAAAATGACGAAACCTTAAAGTTAAAATCATTAAATATGCCCAAAACACAAGGCCCTAGGGATTTGAGTTGATTGTGGCCGCGCGTTGGGCTTCTTACTTAGGCATGTCATGTCCTACATGGCAATTTGCGTCACACTTAAGGGATATCTCAGTTCCATCGTCAATGATGCAATGTACCAACTACCAACGGCTGAAGGAAATTGCATTCACCGATAAGGAAGGGTCAGGGGGACGAGAGAGGATGATGTTGTTTCTGGTGAAAGGGTTGTGGTGATTCACAAGGATGGAATCGGCGGAGGTTTGGTCAGCGAGTGCAATGGGGGTTAGGCAAAGGTGAAAATCGATGGTGGTGTGGTGTCGCTCGAGGGGAAGAGAGTAGGAGAAATGGAAGCAAAACGTCGGCAGCGGTATAGTTTCTGATGGGATAATTGAGAATATAACATGACAAGATGGAGAGTGTGCATCTGGTCAGGCGTTGGTAGACGTTTTTGGTTGTGTTTAGAGCAACGCACCAAAAAATTGAAAAATAAAATAAAATAAAACTGATATGGCTTAGGTTAAATGGTGTCATGCATTGTTTGCCATCGTCAAACCTAAGTGCACAGTTTTACCAACGGTAAACACAGCGTCGTAATGTTATTTTTGCCGACGGTATTATGTCATCAGCACATTTTCACCGTTTACTCTCTCCATTTTGCCGTTGAGAGAATAATAAGTGAGGAGAATGAATTATGCATTATAAACTTGTGCTTTGTGCATTAGGAAAATACATAAGAGAGGTAGGAAAAAAACATCATCACACCCCACTCATAGGCAAATTGTGGAAAAAATGGTAAAAACTTACGTGACGCCTATGTGACATACTTTTACCATTGGCAAAAAATCACCACACCCTTTAGCCTTATGAAACCTAAGTGACAATATCATTAATAGCATTGAGTGGGGTGTGATGATGTTTTAGATCAGGTGAAAAAACATCATTCTGGAACGACACTTGGTGCGGGTCAGTAAATTTTAGATCCAAATTTCCAGATTTATATGCAATTGAACCCAAAAAGAATTGTACCGTGGCCCAAAAGATTACAGACAACACAAATGGTTGGCAATGGAGCTCGTGTCCTCTTTCATTGGGGTTAGCACATGACCTTAACTTGCTATACAGTGACATCATATCTTGCCCAATAAGACCTGGGGAGGATCATTGGATTTGTAATTTAGCAGTGGATCGTAAGTACACTGTGGAACTGCTTCGTCACAAATTGGACTAACTTACACATCCGGGTTCGAACACCTTGATCATTTGGTGCAAACAAGTCCCAATCAAGGTTCTAACCTTCATTTGGAGGGCAGCCATGGGTCGAATCCCCACAACCACGGCGTTAATGTGTCGTGGTATAACCTTGTCTTCCTCCACGTGTGGTTTCTGTATTAGTGATGATGAACAAGCTGACCATCTACTAGTCACATGTCCATTTGCAGCCTATATACGAGAGAAGATCTTTAAATGGTGCGACATAACCCTACCCCCCTTAATTACAGGAGTTACCGACTTAGTTCAATTTGCTGCCAATTGGGGAAGGTGTCCGAAGAAAAGAAGATTCATTGTTACATGTTATGGTCTACTCTGGGGGATTTGGAAATTCAGGAACGACGGGATATTTCAAGGCAAATTCATAACACCAAACAGTGGAGTGGAAATGTGGAATACATCAAGTCAATGACGTTTCTTTGAATTAAGCATAGAGGTTCTGGAGTTAGATATAATTGGGATGAGTGGAGTTCCTTTCCTTTTTCTGTGTTGTAATTAACTCTTTTTACGTTTGTTTGTTTCCTATTTTGCCTCTGCTTAGCTTCTTGCTCGGCTGGGGTTCTAATATAATTTATGGCCATTTCCAAAAAAAAGTTGATTAATAGACTGACGTTCTTATGATTGGATTGTGGATAGAAATAAAAAAATTAGCATTAGCAAAATATCTTGGAATTTAAATCATATTCGATGTAATTCTTTGTTAGCTTTGCACTAACTTCTTTTTATATAAATCTTTCAGCCATTCAAAAAAAACATCCAACATTTAGTTAAAAAACATAACATATGAACGTAGTAAAATCAATTTTACATTAAAAGATAACTAACATACTAACGTAGTAAATCAATTTTATATTAACATACTAGTTGTGAGACCTATAATACTATACGGGTTGATTAAAACAAAATGTTAAATACGAATGATCAAACGGAAAGTTTATTTGAATTTGAAATCTGAAATAAGTAAAAATTATGAGGAAAAATACATGCAAAACAAATAAATTAAAATTATATGTTTAGTTGTCAGACTCGTATACTAAACGTGTTAACAAAATGTTAAATACGAATGTTTAAAATAGACAAGCTCGCACCCTATTAAAGGGTGACACCTGTGAAATGGCCTACAAAAAAAATAGCAGTACTTTCGCAGGACGGGAGAAGATTTCGAAGGTCCAATCTTGGAAAATTGTTAGGAGGGTTAGTAAATTTGTCTCGCTTGTAATATTTGTAGTGTTGATTAAATACATGTAATGACTTTGCCATAATCTTCTGATTATTGCAGAGTTTAATATCTTCATAATAATTATCAGTCAGCGGGTTGTGAAAGGTGTAGTCATAATAATTATTTGTAGTGGTGGTTTTTAGTGAATAGCTTAGCTATATGTAAATTCAAATTATCAGTGGTTTTCAAAAAAAAATCAAACAAAAACCATACTGCTTTCCAAATGCCATACCCAGAGAATAAAATCTATATAAAGATAAATGTCAAATGTCAAATTCTTGGAGAAAAAAAATATATATGAAAAATCTTAAAACAAAACAAACACAAAATACGTCTACATTAGTTCCAATAAGTCACAAACAAACAAACCAACTAAACATCATATCATCATCACGTGCTGTATTCAAAAGGTTGGGGTGGTTGCGGTTCATCATCCACAACCATGGCTGCGCCCGGTTGTGCGGTTGCCGGTGCACCCGCAGCGGTTGATGCGGTCGATGTCGGTGCATCGGTTAGAGCCAAGACTTCTGGTTCGGTTGGGCGAAGGTCCTTCAAAAGTACAAAACCAGATGCAGCTGCTTTCACCGGAGCATATCTACTGTCTTCTAAAAACTTAATGAATTTCTCTTGAGCAGGGACTACTCTTGCTGGGTTTGTTAGGATCTCAAAAGTTGCTTCTGGTTCAGCCTTCTTCTCTTTCTCCTTCTCCGCACCAGCACCAGCACCATCCACCTGTTAAATTGCAAAAAATAACCAAATGACACTTTTAGTCCCTGTAGTTTTCAATTTCCATAAATTACATTTCGTCCCTGTAGTTTTCAATTTCCAGAATTTCACTTTTGGTCCAATTATTTTTTAATTTCCAAGGAAATAAACAAGACACTTTTATAGTTTTAAATTTCCAGAACTACATTTTTGGTCCATGAAGTTTTTAGTTTGCATGAATTTCATTTCTGGTCCCTGTAGTTTTAATTTTCCAAAATTACACTTTTGGTCCATGAACTTTCTAATTTGCAGGAAATGAGTAACTGGTCCCTATAGTTTGCAATCTTACATACCAACTTTTTATAAGACTTTATTGAGTCAAAAATATAGGATTAATTTATTATTTTATTACGTCCTAATAAAATAAATATTAAATACACACCTGCATTGAATCAGCATCCTTTTCAGCGGAAGCTTTTCCTTTCCCCGAAGATTCAGCAGCAGATAACTTGTCAGCATTAGCTTTTTCAGCCTCCTTTTTGCTAGCTCTAGCCTTGGCTCTTGCTGAGGTGGACAAAACAGCAGTCGGGAGTTTGACCGCTGACGTGGCAGTAGGTACAGTTGTGGGGCGAGGGTACTCAAACAAGGAGGGTTTGGCATGTGACAAGAAATCAAATCGTGGGACTTTCAAGTCATAGTTGAGCCCAATTAAAGCAGTAGGGGAGAAGGCTAAGCTAATGAAGTAGATCAAAGGGTACCAGTACCAAAACTGGCTGAAAACAGCAAGCCCAACAACTGCAGTGATTTTGTCGTGTTTTGTCTTGGAAAGTAACTTGATTGTCACGTTTCTACCTCCGGCATCCAGGATTCCGGAGGCCAAAATAGCACCCATTTTGCTCATTGTGTCTTCGTGTTTGTCCAGAATGATCTTTTCCAGTTGGCGTCTGTTTTTAAAAAGTTTACATGAGAATTAAGAATATGATTTTTGGGAAAACAAAAAAAAAAGATGAAATTACCTGAATGCCCCTACACGGGAGTCACTGGCTTCACTGATTTGGATCATTACCATTGCCATTGCAATGAGAGCACCTTGGCGCACAAAGTCAACCACATCTGATGTGAGAGGTTCTAGCAGAGATATGGCCTCACTTAGACCAGTGCCAGCACAGGAAATGCCAACAGCCATGGCTGCCCCGTAGCGGACATGTGGGTTGTAAGATTCCGACAGCAGGGAGACGATACGTGGAGTCTGAAGCAAAAAATACCAACTTTAGTTTTATATGAAATGGAATCTCAAATTCCATCCATCAACAGAATAGAATTTAGGAGGAATTTCACTATTCTTAAAGGTGGGTGGAAGGAATTATACTCCATTCTTTATTTTTATTAAAAGACCAATTTCCCTGTTATAGATATTGAAATAAATAAAAACTACAAAATTAATTACAACTGAATTCCACCAGACTATTTAGTTTTTTTTTTTAATTACTAAATTTAGTTCTATTTCTAGCAAACCAAATTCCTTTAAAAGATCTTATTATTTCCAAAAACATTCTGCAAACCAAACACCCTTGAAAGAATTGTAATCTGTTAGAAAATGAAATGGAATTCAATAATTTTTTAAATCGAAGCCACACAAATAACATAGACAGACTCATAAAAGAAGGCTGCACTTATTCACTTAACTTTTATTCATTTCAAGGGTATTTTGGTCTTTTAATAAAAAAAAAGGAAAAATAAAATCGACTTCCTTCCATTCACCCTATGAACAGTGAAATCCATCAAGTAGAGAACTTGAAGAAATCTGATTAGATTCCATATACTTTGAATGAAATCTAAACTTCCAATTCCATCCAAGACTCAAAACACTGCCCTTAAAGTTCCATATAGGAAACAATCAAATTTGGCTTGAACAAAGTATAGAGAGAGAAAAAGGGAATCCAACCTGTTCAGGTTCAGAGTACAAAACAAAGCCAAGAGCTAAAACAGCAGTCCTTCTAACATCATCACTGACATCCGATACAGCAAAATGCAATAACTGTCTAATAGCCTTATTATTTGCTGTCCCACTATACGCCAATGCCAACGCATACATTCCTCCATACCTCAATATCGGATCCTGATCACGAGTCATCTGTTCAATCAAAGTATCCGCTTCCTCCTCCCTTCCATAAACAGTAAGCGCAATCCCCAAAGCCAACCCCCTAACATTAAACAAATCCAAAATCATGTCATAACTACTATTTAACATATTATTAAAACGTCTTAATTGTAAATTGACTAAATTCTTAATTCACCTTATGATCTTTTCATGTTGTGTCTCATGAGCATACACAAGCATCTCAGCCGCCTTCTCACTAGCGGTCCCCACCATCAACAACCCCATGCTGATACCTGCAGCTTCACCTGCAACAGCACTGTCTGTGTAGAGGACGCTTTTTATTTCATCATAAATGTCTTCATCTGCTGTCCCTAAAGCTGCTAACCCTAGGCCTAAACAAGCGCCATGCTGGACAACTTCAACATTAGTACTCCTAAGGCTGTCACGTAGGAACTGTTTGATGCCTTCTCCATGGTTTGCATGGATTAAACCGAGAGCATAAAGTGCACCTCCTTCTGAATAGGGACTACCACCTCCACCACCACCACCCGCCCCACTTTGTGGAAGGTAAGGTGCCATTAGTGATCTTCCTTGTTGTAAATGGCCTCCATGAATCACACCTAGTCCAGCTGTCGCACTGAACTTAGCCCAATTTGTCGCCCTGCTTAGCCAATCCTGAAATTGTATCCAAACATAAAACATTTACAAATTGCTCATAAATCTTGCTACAAATATAAGCAACGAATGTTCTTTTTAGGGATTGCACTGTTGCTATTATGAGTAAAGATTTGTAAGTCAGTTACTAATATGTGTAAAGAAAATGTACATACATTGCTATTATAGTAGTAAAATGAGTGAAGTATGTAGATATGATATAGTGAAATTACCAGATTCTCCCTCAAGAATGTATCTACTGTTGTTCCAGCATGCATAAGTGCATTAGCATATATAGTTGCACTGTGGCAAACACTGTTTCTCATCTCAATCGATTGCTTTATTGTCTTGAGAATAAGAAGATCCGACCTATTCAAAAAAACATAAGAAATGAGACAAGAAACCGATATAATAGATTAATAGATATAGATAATAATATAATATGAGAAAAGGGGAAAGGGGAAAGGTTACTCACTTGTTGTGACTGTATAAAAACTGGAGAGTCAACTGAATTGAAGTTTCACCAGACAAGATTCCTTTCATTTTGGTCAACCTTTCAGCATATGTTACTTCAGATGGATCTGTTTCAGGTACACTAGGGGTAGGAGGAGCTTGGGTGGTTTCATCAGCCATTTGAGTGTCCTCTCCTTGAGCAGCATCTGTCTCAGTGACTACAGGCTGTTCAGGTTTTAGTTTGGGACTTGAGAGGCGATCCCTTACACTCAAAAGAAAAGCTTGATGTTCATTTTCAATGAGATCAAAAGCAATTTGAAAAGCCATCATTGCATCATCCTTGTTTTCAGATCTTAGAAGTTTTTCTAGTATGTTTGCAACACCTTCCGGTTGATCAAGAAACATAAGGCACTGGCAAATGTTTAAGTAATCTGGGGATGCAAGATCTTGATATACTTTGACAAGAAGAAGAAGCACCTGATCATATTCCATCATGTATTCATGTGTCAAATGTGTAAATAAAAACATGTGGTAGGGATAAATTAGGGTTTGGGATTTAGGGATTTACCTCACGCCTATATTCTCTGCGATTGACAAATGCATGGGAAACATTCATGCAATATGCCAAAGTGGCATGAACATTATCACTGTTTGTGATTGCTTCCTTAAGTTTATCCAACCTTCGGCATTCAATTGCCATTCCAATTGCTTGTTGATATTTTCCATCAGTAATACACCTTCAAAAATTACAGAGTGAAAAGAAAAGGTAAGACTAGGGAACCTGTTAAATTAAAGCAAGAAGTAAAAGCATACATACTTATCAAGCATTCTTTCAACTATTGCTTCAAGCCTGGGGTCTACATCTGAAGCATCCTCCTTTGATTCTGCTGCTTTGGTCCTCAAAGTTGCATACTCATCAATAGCTTTGGCTGAGAAAATAAAAAGTCAAAGCAGTCAATGGCATTTTCAAGGAATAAAAATTGTTGTCAGTTGTCACAAGACACCACTTACCAAGAAGAGTATGAACATAATCTGAGTCCTCAGAAACATCAAATAAACTGCCAGCTCCAAGGGCATATGATAGTGAGTCATTAAGCTCTCCCAAGTAATAGAAAACCTACACAAGAGAGGGCAAGAGATGTTTTACTTTTGACATAAAAAAAAACAATCACATTATATGTCCATTCATGAGGCTTAGATATAAGGGAGCAAAATATATCATACAGGTTTTTCAAAAGCATTGGAAAGCATTATTTTCTTTAAGCCGAAAGATATAAATATTCATCTTTATAAAAAACTTAGTAGCAATATTATGGCAGAGGAAAATGAAAATAGGTCAAACCTTTGAAACAAGTAAAGCAGCCAATTGTCTTTGATCGAACTCTTCGTCTTCATATAAACTCTCTCTGAATATAAAAAGGGTAAACATGTCAATGAATCCATTCGAGAAAACTACATTAATATATTTCTAATGGAATTAAACAAAAGAGCAAAATGGAGGGTAGATCAAAGGAACTTGAAAAATACATGGCATTAAAGGACCTAGAAAGCTCAAGTTTCACTTCTTTTATGAGGAGATGCTAACTAGATTTTAGACGAAGTGTGGTTAATGGTCTCTTTTCTTGAATTTTCAGTGACATAACCATATTTATCACCCTCCAATACCACTTCACCTTTTCCATTCGCTTGATTTCTTTGAAAAGATTACTCAATAAAAATAAACTGATTTCAGATAGTGATTAACAAAATTGCTCCTACTAAGTACTTCAATAAACTAAGTTATTGCTTCAACTTGCTTTCTTGATTCTTCAACAAGACTTCTACATTATTTGTATACTTTCCACTGTTGTCTTCAGTTCTTTATTTTACCTAGCTACAGATGGCCTTGGCTCCATTATAAATTTCAGCTACTAAGCTATACTAAAGTTTTCCTGGAAAAAAACTGATATATTGACAAAAAAATATGGAGACCCCTTTGTTCCATGACCAACATCCAATCTCCATAACACATAGGCCTGGAAAAGGCATTTTTGTCTTCTACATCCAAATTCCATGTGATATAGGATTATAATGGCAAATGCTTATCAAACATATGACTCTAAACAAATACGAAAGGCTTTTAGAACTAACTTGGGATGAACTTGCATAACTCAAGACGAACTAGAAATTTAGACTTAATGATCCCTCTCTTAGCGAAAATAGAACATTATATTAAAACAAAACTCTTCCTAAAGTCGATTTAAATTGACTTCAGGTTGTAAATTTAACAAGCTCCAAGCATATAACAAAACATAAAATCCATTTTTCATACTCTTAACACAGGCGGGAAACCAATCGGCTACAAATCTCTACTCAAAGACTAAAAAAAAGAACAAAAGTATCAAAATTACATAATCGATGACAAGGATTGTGATATTTACATGATTGGAACGCTAGTTGAGATCTCAGGCCAGAAGTAGTCAACAAAGGCGTTAAGATTTGAGAGAGCATGAAGCTTGAGAGACGGATGCGGCTCGTTAAGCATCGCCAAAAGACCGCCTGCCGAGCTCACCATAGTCGCCGCCATTGTTACACCGACCAGTATTAACACACAGTCACCGTCGAATTAGTTCGATTATATCAAATGGAGACGAAGAGGTCTGGATCCAAGGTTAGGGTTTTGGATACCGGAGAAGAGTTTTGATACGTGTTTTTGGTTCGATTTCTTTGGGGAGGGGCAAAGTACAGAGTAATCTAGGCCCGATTTTATTCTATACTCCCCTTGAACTTTTGCTTTTGACAATTTTGGCACTGCAAGTTTGATTTGCCATATTTAACTCCAGATCAAGAGAAAAAAAATAGTTAAATAAAACTTTTACTAATTTTGTTTTTTTACAATATCGTATCATATTAATATATTAATAACTATGTTATTTATGGACGGTGTCCGTTTTTGCATCTTTTGAATGGGTTGGAGACTTCTATTTATTGGTTGGCTTGGAGCCGATTTTGTTGTTTTTCGTCCAGGTACTATTTAGGGTTAATTTTGGATCCGTTGTTCTCCTTTTTCTTCATTTCCAACTTTTTGGGGTTTATCGCTCTATTGTCTCTTCGGCTAACCAACAACGCAAGACGTTCTTCTCGTAAGCAGGCATCTGTTTGGATTTAGAACTTAGGTATGTTATTTATGGTTTCTATTCGTCTTTAGTTGTTCTTATGATTTTCAGCTTGTGTTGTGAATGATGTTTCTTTTGTTTTTCGTACAATAATTCCCAATAAACGTAAAAGCGGTTCTACTTCTGGTGCAATAGCGTCTCGTCGTTCACGAATAAAATCATTTTTTGTAGACGTATTTGTATTACCCATGTATTACGATTTTGATAATTGTTCCTATGTCTGTGAATTTTGTGGAGCGTTTTTTGGTTTCATGAGAGGGTGTTGTATTTATCTTGGGCAAATCATCCACGTTATACCAAGTGTTCTAAATCATATTTTGTTGTCTTCCATATCCTCTTGCTCCACTTAATGTGGTTTCCCAGTTCTTTGAGAATTATCAGTTTATGCATAATATAAGGGAATACAACTCCATGTTTTTATGACATCATCCGGTGCAAAAGTGTAAAACCGGATGAGGCAATCAATAAAGGTTGTGGACCTTATGTGTTCAAGGTGTCTGGTTAGATTTCCCATTGGATTGGATCGTTGTGTCCGCATGATAGTGATCATCCCCATTTTTTGCCGTTATATATGTGTGACACTGACAATGAGCTTTCTAATAGACTTTGTTTTTTCTGTAGTGAAGGTGATCTGGTTTTATTTGTAGATGTTGTGGATTGTTTGAATGATATGTTGGATATACATAATGAGTATTGTCACACCCCCGAAACCGGCGGCGGAATCGTTCCGAGGCGGAGGACGTCATACGTAGTATCACAACCATTGAACATAGTAATCATAGTAAGCACAACCATTACATTACATAAGAAAAGTTACATTCGTTTGAGAATGGAGAAATACATAGTTTATATACATCAGTATATCAAAAGTAAAGACGAGACTTCTATACACTCCGTCTTCTCCAAAAGTACGGGATACCTGTCTAACGAGAACCTGAGAATACAAGCAGTTTTAAAATATCAGCATAAAGCTGGTGAGTTCATAAGCATGTTTTGTAAGGAAAACCGGTTATTTAATCTTGTGATAAATAATTCATTTCCTTTAATAAAGATTGTTGTTATATCGAAAACCATTGTTACTGAGTTATGAATTACATAAGCATGTTTTCCCAGAAAATCCCATATTTTCTAACATGTAAGTTGGTTTCCATAGAACGAGAAAAACCTTGTCTAATCATCAATAAGTTAAGAAAACCATAAGTTAGGATCCTGGAATTCCCCTCCAGTACGAAAGTAGGTAGTTTTAATACATAAAACTATAGATGAAAGAAAGAAATCTGTGAATAGAGTTAGTTAATTTAGTACGTATTGTGAGTCGTATAACCATACTGATTTGACCCGTGACCTCTTTGACGTTTTTCAGGCGTCGATCGATTTTCAAAATTTGTCACCCCAGGCGTGCCCGCCTAACTGTAGCTAGCAGTTTAGGTGTGGGATTGTCAGTCCCGAATAGATCTATCCACAAATTTCACGTTCTCCCTCCAGGAGACTCTAGTTATACTTCCGGAGAGGATTTACTGGTAACCCGAAGGGTATATCGAAGATAAGTCTCACAAGTTAGTATTAACTAAATCACGGGATAACTGGTCGTCATCAAATTTCGAAATCGTTTGGAACAAAGTAGAGTATAAATAATTACATACAAAGTAATTATTTAGCATGATACTCTAGGTTTAACATGGATAAACTAAATCAGACATAGTTTATGTATATTGACTTTGCATGAAATCTGAATCCGTAAAACAAGTAATAAAGATCCCAAATTATTCCCATAATAATTTGAATGGTTTGAGAAGTTTTCACGCTGTTCTGAAAACTATGTAATTATATTTAGAAAACGTCCCCTATGCTCCGCATGTTACAAAAGGGATACAGTATCTAAAGTTTGACAGAAAATCGTATAATTACATCAGTTTTTAAGTTTACAAAAACCTTTATGATTTGCTTGTATTCCCCCCCTGAAAAACATGAAAAACTCGGAAAAGTGTAGGGGTATGAACTCACCAGACGAGAAATGTGCCGGATAGGATGCTAAGTGTCAATTTAGAGCTTAAAAACACGCGCGAGGATCCTATGTAACATGAGGATATACACAAGTGTATCTAATTAGACATTGAATTACTAATTAAGTAAGATAATACACCCGAGGCGCGAAAACACTTTATTTCAAGTGTTAGGAATGATTCGGGTTGCATCTAAGGAGTGTTGGGCCTTGATATGGAGTTTACTTTTCAAGCGTAAGCCCTTAGGGGTGTTTACGGTCCAAAGACCATATCCCCCATGAGTTTACGGCCGTAAACTCATGGGAATGGTGCATTTGGATGTTTCAAGGTCTCATGCTTCACAAGGAAGGGTTCTAGGGTTGATTCAAGGGCTTAGGAAGTGTTTGGGGCTTGGAATGGACCCTTTATGGAGTTTACGGTTTCTGAACCACTCCTTGGGGAGTTTACGGTCGTAAACACATGGGTTTACGGCCGTAAACTCATGTGTGTCCATTTTTCATGTGTTTTGGTGGTTGTAGGTCATGCATGCAAGGTTCTAGACCCAAATGTAAGCCATACAAGGTGTTAAGGGCACTTAAACACCCTTTGGAGGTGTTTACGGTTTTGGGAGACCTTCCCAACTGTAAACTCATGTTTGCACCATTCAATCCATGTTTTAGGGTTCTAAGATCATTCCAGCAAGTTTCTAGGTCATTAGCCAAGCATTGAAGAGGGTTTGGGGCATCAAAACCCCATTTTGGGGTTTTTACGGTTCATGAATGTTCATGGACCGTAAACTCATGTTTACCCCCAAAAAGTCATGATCTTGGGGTTCTAAGTTCATGCATGCAAGTTTCTAAGCCATAGCTAAACACTAGAAGAGGTTTGGAAGGGTTTTGGGGCTTCAAAACCCCCTTTTGGGAGTTTACGGTTTTGGGAGGTGTTCCCAAACCGTAAACACAAGTTTTTGGGTCCTTTGGAGAGTTTAAACCCACAGATTTGCATGCATGTTAAGTTAAACAACAAGCTAGGAAGGATTACTTTACGATTTTGGAGCTTGAATGAGTGATTCTTGAGCAAAAATCCGATTTTTTAGAGAGAGAGTGTAGAGAGAGAAAGTTCTAAGGTGGGAAAAGACTCAAATGGAGTCCACTCAACCCTTATATGGGATTGAGTCCACGGTTAGGTGGGGACACACCCATCCTGACGTTAAACGAAGTTTAAGATTTTACCCGATTAAATGACCGTAACCCGACTTAGTCGTAAATTAGAAATTTTTCCAAGGATTATCGAGGGTATTATATGTGATTTTATTGATTTCCTACACGTAGGAAATTATGACAATAACCCTAGATGAATTATTTAACTTAAAAGTTAACGGACAATTTTAATAATAAAATAAATTTTATTAACGGAAAGGGTTACAGTTGATGGGTTTTATACAAACAATCCTATGTGTGCATGCAACCCTAGAGTTGGATCTATGTTTTCACTATTAGTTATACAACTTTATGAACACAAAAGAACCCTAGCATGCATCTACTATTTTCGAAATTGACATAGGAGAATAGAATACATACCTTTTGTTGTTATGTAGTAATAACAACTAGTTCCTTGAATTTCCTTAGCTCTTGAAAGCAAGTACCACAAGTGTAGTACCTCTAATGGCTCACAAACACACTAGGTGAAAGGATGAATATGGGAGAGAGGAGAGAAGGATATCTTGCCCTAAAATTCGTCCCTTTTAGGGTTTCCCAAGGCTTGGACGAATTCTAGTGCCTTAGGGTGCTATTTATACTTGAGGCTAGCTAGGGTTTCAAGGTGGAAACCCTAATCCCTTAGCTTAGGGCCTAAGCAAGTCCATGGACTCCTTTCCTTAAGCCCTTGGACGAAAACTCCTAGATCCTTCTAGGATTTTCGTTCAAGCCTTAATAAAAGTGATCCAATAGCCCAAAGTCTCAACTATCAAATAATTACAAAACAGCCCCTGTACTTTTAATTAATTCCTTTAATCCCGAAATTAATTCCTAATTAATTTCTGATTAAATACTAATTAATAATATGATTCCAAATTATTATATTAATCATATAATATAATAAATAAATCATATTTATGCCCTAATCAACCTCTCTCCTCAACTGTCATCCTGTCTAGTCACCCGTGTGAAGGCAACCCAAAAGGACCATGCTCACAATCGGGTTAAGTACATACCAAAATAGTTATGGACTTAGACACTAATCCAACAGTCTCCCACTTGGATAAGTCTAATAACTATTCTGCGTATGACTTCAGAACCTGATCAGCAATCGTAGCTTCCAAAAGCCGCTGTCAACTCTGATCTTATCAGATACGCGTGTCCTTTAGATAAGGGATCATATATTCCTCCATTCTACAAGATATCATATAGACATGAGCCATGGATTGAAATCATTCTCTCAGTCTATGTGTTGTTTCCCGATTTCCGATTTATGACGACTGACTAATTGAACAAATCAAATCAGTCTTGGCCCGGCCGAGCACTTTCCTTTGTCATTACTAAATCATCGAGGGGCCCACAGATATCGCTTTTATCC